GGGGATTTTGGGGGTTTTTTTAGAAGACCAAGGTTTGGGAATTGGGCAGGGGTGCGGGATTTTTTTCCCCGGGGGAAGGTGGGTAAGAGGAATTTGGCCGGTGTTTCCCCCCCACTCTTCAAAAAGGGTTTTTAAAGGTGAAAGGAGGGAGGGAGGGGGGGGGGATTTCAATAGGGGGGGGGGGGCGGTGTTTTTTCCCTGGAGGAGTAATTTCTTTTAAATTAAAAATGGAACGGGGGTAAACCGGGTTGCCCCGGGGAGGAATGGAAGGGAAGGATTCCGGGGAAGCGGGGTTAACCCCCGGATAAAAGGTTGGAACGGTATCTTTTTTTTTTCTTGGAGGGGTGGCCCGGGAAGGGGAGCCCCCCCGGCATGGCCGGAAAGTTTGGAAAACAGAAATTTTCGGGGACAGGCGGACAGGCCCCTTGGAACACAGGGGGGCCCCTTTATTTTTCCCCCCCCCCCGGAATAATTTGGGCATCCACTGGAGACCCCCCCCCCCCCCGCTGCTCTTGTGTTGATCCGATCCCCACACGGTATACCTGCGTCTGCGGTGTTTTGTATCTTGTCCGGTGGACCAAGGGCAAAGAGGTCGATCAAGGAGAGACCGACGCTAAGAACGTTCCGCAGGTGTTCGGGAACTCTCGAAAGATCCCTCCGCAGATATCGAGCATCGCGCACTACGTGCGCCGGTCGGGGGGCAAGCCGCGGATGCTGCTGCTCCCCCTGGGGGAGCTGGCCGTGTACAGAGCCTTCTTTTCGGACAGGGTTTTCGAGGTGAGGGTGTGCCAGTTCTGTTCGTGTGATTCGACGGAGCCGCCGGCCCAGCTCAGTCTTGCCGACGTGCCCTAATGGAGATAGCCCACGTATGTCGGTGACCGGCCTCCCGCATGGTTGAGTCTTGTTTGTTGGACGGCTTTGTTGTTGTCCTACTCGTGTATTCCTCTTGCCCATGCTGTCACTCTTTTCTCTCTTTGCTCTAGATAATGTTGGATTTGGCCGGTCACCTCGGTTTCTCTTTCCCTTCCTCCTGCCTCTCCGTCGCTCGCTCGGCCTTTCCGTTCCTTCTGTTCTCGTCCGCATCTCTTATATCCCTATGCCACTCCTTATGCTCTCATACCAGTCTTTTTGTTGTCGTATGTATCCCTTCTGCTCGTGTGCTTTTCCTTGTGTTCTTGTCTGTATCCCTCATGTCCCCATGTTTCCCTTCTGCTCTTATGCCAGTCCTTCTGTTCTCGTCTGCATTATTTCCCTATGTTATTCCTTCTGTTCTTTATGCCAGTCCCTCTGTTCTCGTATGTATCCCTTCTGCTCTTGTGTGCTATTCCTTCTGTTCTTGTTCGTTTTTCCTCGACAGGTTTCTCCGACACAATCAGAGAAGCTCCACGCCGCGCTCGTGGCCTCAAGCATGTTGGACTGCAGCACGGGTCGGATTGTCGGTGAGTGGGGCACAGGGGCACAGCAGAATGGAAGGAAGGTTCCCCTCCAAGAATGGGGGCTTGATGGGTATGTGTGTGTTTTTAATTTTAGCATCGACTGCGCCAACCGGCTGACCAATGAAAAGACGTCAGTCTCAGTGGAGTTCAAAGCACAAAACACTTCTGAATGCCATTAACTGATACGTGTGTATGTTAGTTGTTTAACCATTCGTGTTTTTTTTTACGCACCAGCGGGGTCTGGAGGAAGGCCAAATGGAAGCCTTTTTTTTTTGCCGACTTTTTCTGCGGTGCTTGTGTTACTTTTCATCGCGACAGCGTGAATTTCCTTGTCCTTGTAAGGCCAATCATTCCACGTCGGTGGCTGTGGGTAACAGTACCGTTGTCTGCTTTTTCTGTCACGTGTTGCGGTCTTTTTGACGACTGTTGCGGTCTTTTTGACGACTGTTGCGGTCTTTTTGACGACTGTTGTCCACCCTAAACGTGTATTTTTTTCTTGTTTTTTTTTCTGGTTTGGTGGCACGTGCTGCGGGGCCGACTCTGCTTTCAAGTGTGGGATGATCGCGTGCGCTTGGCGTGCGCTTCGTGCTTGCATCGCGAATGCTTACTGAGTTTCCGGCCGTGCGATACGCAATAACTCAGCGCGTTTACAGCGCTATGCAATGTAGCTGTTCATGCTTGCCCCCGCCCGGGCGATTTGCGGCGGGTGTCGTGGTTCTGTCACTACACCTCATGAAGCCCTTGTTCCAGTTTTTTTTTTGGTGCTGGATGCGCTTGACGGAGATATGCTCTACAGTGGACGAACCACACCATGTACCACACGCGTCCGCAGTTCAGTAAAAAGTATTTGGTCCAAGAAGCATAGCTCAGCGGTGGATCCTGCACTAAACAATATGTAACGAAACTGTGCTCGACAGCAGTGGCGATGAAATATGAAACTGAAACTCAATCGGCTTGAATAGCTCCGCGGTGAATTCTACTCTAAACTCTGCATGCCAACCTGTTCCCGACAGCAGCAGCGGCGATGAAATACGAAACTGACCCGATTTTGACAATATGTCTCATGTGCGGGACCGTGCTGTACGTTCGCAGCTGGCGAGAAGCAGTGCTTCTTGGTCCAAGACCCTAGGACGTCGCCGCTGGCCCTGGACACCCTCGTCGCCGCCTACGAGGAAAGCTTGGCCCGTAGCACCACCTCTGCTTCCGGCGCCGCCATCGCCGTAAACGACACATCGTTGGCGGCAGACAGTGGGGCCCCGCAGCTGTCCACCCGGCTGCAAGGGGGGGGGGCGCCGCTGCCGTCGGCGCAGCAGCAAGGGGGGGGTGTCCAGAACGATCCCCGGTTTTTGGGTGCTGCGTCGGAGGAGACGCCGTTCATGACGACGGCACACGCTACTGAGGTTTTCCGGGTAAGGCGGCGTGACGACATCATCGAGTGCCCGCAGGCCACAGAGGGGGTGGGAGGGGTGCACTGTGTCGCTTGGGTTATGTTTAGGGTTAGGGGGCGTGACGTCTTGGAGTGCCACAGGCAACGGGGGGTGGGGGGGGTGGTTATTGTGTCTCTTGTGTCCGAGAGCAGCGATGCTCCTGTGCGATGTATTAAAGGTAAGGCTGCTAGTTCGCTTGCAGTTCTCAAACGTGTATTCCCTCGTGTCTTGTTTTTCCAAGTTGCCGCAGCAAGCAGAGGCCACCAGCAAAAGTAGAGACGTAAAGAGATGAGCACATTCACGCACAGGAAGACGATGCTGGGACAGATCTAGAACCTGCGCCGATGCTTGTTGATGTACCTCGAGGGGTCAACTCTTCCCTTCCTCCCCCGTCACTTTTTTTTTTTCTCTCTCTTCTGCTTGTGGTATCTCGGACGTCAGGAGCTGCTGAATGTGGCATGGGGCGCGCACGAGCTCAGCGCGGACTTCGTACCACTCTGGGAAAAGTGGCTGTGGGATTCTTGCGGAGAAAACTGCCGACCAGGGCCATGGAGATAACGGTCGATGGAAGGGGAGCCCAAACAACAAGTTGTTCGTCTCGTTGAGAAGGTTTTGTTTGTGCTTGTGCTCCACAGCAAACCAAAGGAATGATATGGGCTGCAGTGGAGTTAGCTTGCAAACTACGTACATCCTGGCAGCAGTACTTTGAGACCGCCGGAGGTCGCTGCTACTGTGTTAGGTGGTCGGGTAAGAGGCTGTTGTAGGTGCTTTGCTTGGGGTCGTGATGTCAGAAGAGGAGAGCCCACCTTGCTACAGCTTATGGTCAAGTTCTCCGGTATCTCTCCCCAAAGTACACTAATGTAGATGGGTTTCATTGTATGGGGAATCCGTTTGCGGATCCCTTGGTATTTCGATTGTACGCTCTTACGGCTGAGAGGGTCCTCCCCTAGATTTAGTCAATGGCCGCCTGAGCGCGCTTATATCGTTTTTTGGTAATGTTGTGTTCGGCGGGATCGATCCACTCTTCGCGTCTGTCTCGCTCAAGAGGTTGTCCCGCCAGGCATTCACTCCTGTCCCTTGAACCCTGCCCTGTTGTTTTTAGTTTTGTTCTGTGGGTGTTGACTGATATGCCTTGCTTGGCCGGTGGGGCGTCGGGTTTTGTTGGCGGATCGGTGTGTTGTGTTAATAGAGTCAGACACGAAAGTAGTCGGCAACCTTTGGCGGCGATAGCGTGTCGGGTTGACAAGTCGGCCAACGTCAAGCAGCACGATGCCTGATTGATTGTCCCGTTTGTCCCTGACTCCAAAGGTGGAGTCCGGAGTGCCAAGCGTAGCCGAGGGAAATGGCTGCCTTTGTCGTTCAGTCACTCTCTGTTGTGCTCAGCTTGTTGGCGGTGTTTGAAGTGCAGCTACCCCAGAAGAAAACGCAGTTTGTGACCTTGGCATGAGATTGCTGCGGTTTCACCCGGGTTAGCTGTGGGCTAATGGTGCGATATGGTGTTTGTTTGCTGGGCGGGGATTGGTCTAGAGAGTTTCCGTTTGGGTGGGACTGGAAGAGAAACGGGTTCTTTTTTTTTGTATTGTTTCAATATTTTTTTTTTTGCGTGTTACACGAGTTTATGTTCCATTATCTTGGACTCGCATACGCCTGCTGGGGCTTGTTGTAAACTCCTGAAATGAGCGAGAGGTCGACCTACATGATCGCTACGACCGATTGTTCACATGAACCCGGGGTCGCACAATGGTGTTGTTCATTGTCTCTTGCCGGTTGTCGCCATTGCTCTTTGCATTCTGTTTGCTCTCTCAGCGGTTGCACTGTCAGTGCACATAGGAGCCCCGCGCATAAAAAGCGCTCGGCTTTACTGCTGCTCTTGGGTGTTTATTGTGTGTATTATGCTTCGAGCTTAAGTGCGGATGTGTGGTGTATGTACAGTAGTCTTTGTATCATTTTGTCTAGCCGGCCGTTACATAAGCTTGGGGTAGAGAGCAAGGAATTCTTTTTGGGCAGGGGTGCGCGCGAAATCGTGTGTACCATATGCATACCTGTTTCTTTGTGTTTGTGGTTGGGTACTGTTGTTTTTTTGGTTGCTTGGGGGCGCTGTTACTCTTTGGACCCTACTCTCCCAAGAGTGTAAAGATGTGTAAGAGGTAAGAATTGCTATTGTCGTGGATGGCGTGGGGTAGTACGCTTTCGCGCTCTCATTCAGAACGAGCCCGGAAAATGGTTTTTCTCAAGGATTGATTTCGGATCCCTTCCGGGAGAGAACAATAGTAATAAACCGGAATTGTTCAGTCCGGTTGTGAGTTCTCTGAGCTCACGAAGGCTACTCGCGCGAGATCGCGGCGGTGCCTTATGCATAGCACGCCGTACAGGACGTCGCCTCTCTCCGGGGGGATTTTTGATGAGTGTAACCGTTCCAATGGAAACATTCTTCCGCAGTCTATAGATGTGCGAAAAAAACGCAGGAGACATAAGGTATACTATTTTACCATTCGGGCGTAAGCAATTTTAGGCGAACAGCCTAGCAGGGGGAAGGTTGATTGAGATGAGCATGAAACCGACTCAATGTATAACAGTTCCTCCTGGTGTGATCCCGGCTTGCCTGCTGGAAAGACATGCATCATATATACCGAAAGGTACATGCTGAACGTTAGTGATATAAGACTGGCGCCAAGAGTAGATCGGACGGAAATACACACCGGGGTGGAGGTTCCACCATGGCAAACATCACGTCGTTGGTCGAATCTCCTGTGACGCGGGAAGGCTTCAATATCCCCTCGAGTCGACCGTGTTATGAAAAGAACCTCTGCAATTCGCTTAAGAACTGGCTCCACACACAACAACAAGATGTAGTTTTGGATTTCATTCAAACCAACGCATCAGCAAGCTTCATTCACCCGTGGCGGTGCATGCAAAAAGAGTGAGGTCGGTCGGTCGGTCGGTCGGTCGGTCGGTCGTGTTCACCTGATGATGGAGTGTTGGTAGAAAATTTGTTGTGTAGCCTGTGTGAGAGAGGCTATTGTACGGAGAAAAATAGTAAACAAACCACGCCAACCATGGAGGAGGAGCAGAATCTTCAGCGCAAAACTCCATCTCGTCACCCCGCTTGCATATGCTTACAATGCTATTAATGCTGTCGATATATTCATTTGCCCTGTTCGTCTGTATCACCGTAAACAACAAAACCATCGTATCCACATCACAATTCCCGTATTCACACAAGATAGCACCCCCCCCACACACAGATATTGCCAAGCCTGGGGATCCGATTGTCTACGATGCGACATCACCACTGAGGTGCGGCAAACGCAAGATTCAAAGCCCAACCAGCGCATGCAGAAAATGGCGCTACTCAATGCGAAACACCGTTCGTTCTGTCATCGTCTTGTAATTTTGACTTGTACTGCTGTAGAATTTACGGGGAACATCCAACCGCCCGTGCGTGCAACTCCCGATGAACTAAATTGTCGGTTACAGCGCAACCGGAGATCGGGATCGCCCTTCATCATATGGTCCGAGACCACCAACACACATCGCGAAGAGGCCCACAGCATCCGGATGGTATTGCGGTAGTTGTCAAGGATCCTGGGGCTGTGCGTGCTCTTTCTCGCGGTGTGCTGGGGCCCGGTGCGTTTGCTTGCCGGAGACACGTGGATCTTGCGGGGTCTCCTCGGCGTGCTACTGTTTGCTAGGCCCACGAAACATCGCCAACTATGGGCGATGATCTTGCATCAGTCATCGCGGCTACCCAGGAGCAGGTGATCCAACGGTCTCTGGGGTAGTCCTTCGATGCGTCGCTACTGGTAGCGGTTGTGCTGCTCTGGATTGGGGTCAAACATCTCGCTCCCAGTCTTCGTGTAGATTGCTCAAGTTTGAGGCCACGCTGACTGCTGCTGTGCGTTGTGACATCCCACATCACACATCGCCGCGGCAAACGTTGAGCATCATCACCCTGTGTGCGCAGCCAGAAACGGCAGCTGTGGAATCAGAAATGGACAACAAAGCCCTTACAACTCCCCCCCAGCCGTCCAGCTGTCTGATCACATAGCATGAGCGGCAGCACGGTACAGTAGCTGCATACGTAAATATTCCTCCTCCGCTGCGTACGCCACAGCGGCAGCAGTAGCTCCGCTGTAAGCCGCACCTCTCTGCTGTAGCCGTGTTGTTGGTGTTTGGATCGCGGATCGACCTCTCCCGCCAAGACAATCCGGCATAGACCATGCAAGAAAGAGGTGCCTCAAGCTTTGCTCTTGGCCGAAGCTAAAAGCTACGGCATACTCAAGTATGGAGCCAAGAGCGGGCAGGTGACCGCACCACCGGAGCGGCTAAACCGGCACCGGCAAATGACTGCTATTCACTTTGTACCAGAGTAGAGAGTGCTCGGGATCATCGGTGCCCTGCAGCAGCAGCAGAAGCGCTTGGCGAGAATTGGCAAGAAGAAGTGTCCCCCCACGTCTGACTCTGCTGCGCTGCGATATGTAGCACACCGACAAGCAATGGTTGTTGCCTTGTAGTGGCGTCGTTTTGTCAGTAGAACCAGTACCACTGTCCTGGGTACTGAGACCGGCTCGCTCGTTGGTTGCTGGTTGCGATCGAACGCCGGGCTGGTGGGAGGGATGCCGCGCTTGGCCTCCTTCAGCAACAACCAGCAGGTGCTATAGACTAGCCTATGGCCCAACGATGGGCTGCTGTGTGCCATCCTGAGCAACCCGTGTGTCTACAAGCTACGGTGCTTATGGAAGCTTGTACCAAGACATTACGATAGCCGCCCGGCCACGCTGACCCTACAGTACCTCCTCTATTGAAGCCCTCCGACAACACGCCTGTGTAAATTCGCGGTAAAGTTGTGTGACACGCGGGTTGCCGGCTGCAGTCCTGAACGGGGGCGGAATGGGACAAACCCAACCCGCCGTCATGTAGATGGGTCCTAAATCTGCCAACACGCCTTCTTCGCGTACAGCCACTAAATGATTTCACCTCCTAAGCTCGGCGGCGAAGCAGTTTGTGCCTACCTACGGAGACCAACCCCGCGTCTCACCGCTGCTACAAGTAAATATTGTGCTGTGCTGCTCTATATCCCTTTCTGTTCCTGCCGAGCAGCTGGGCGGCCTGTTCCAGAAGCCAAGGTTGTCGGAGAAACTTCTGTCCAAGGCGCCGTTTCGGTTCCTGCACGACGTCATTTCCGCCGTTACCGCCTCCACGGGCTTCGCGGCCGGTCTGTACAGGTAAATGAAGCATACATGTATATGACGTGAGGCCTGTTGCTCTCGGGTCCGCGTCCTGTCACGCTTCCCTTCTCTTTTGAGATTCATCATACATAGGGCGTCATATTCGAACAGTCAGTCTATCGTGGACTTTTAGTAGACCCGGGCCCGTACTACCATGGGTGCCCGTGTGCTGAGCCACGCTGGCTGGTTAGGACCTGAAAAGCAATGGCCCACTCAACCTACAGAAGCATCCAAACCGAATCTAGCCACCTACATTCCAGTACACCCTAGTCTCAACGTGATAACAGGCCAGTCCTCGCCCTCTCCTCTCCCTCCACTCCAATGCTATCTCTCGCGACACGTGCCTCCACTTTCTGCCGACCGCAGCGACGAGGAGCTCGACTCTGGGTCCGTCAAGGACAAGGGTTCGAAGATCGGCTACCTCGACAAGATCATCGCTCTCGTCGGTATCTGCTCCGGCCGCGACATCGATGTCAGGCCTTCCAAGGTCGTGGCTGGGCTGGAACCGGAGGGGACGAACGCCCTGCTTACGGTAAGGCGATGGGGGGGATGGGAAGGGAAGACGTGCTCCCGAGGTCGCGATGTTTGTTTGGGGGTTGGGTATGGAGCACCACCAACATGGAGAAAAAGGACAAGCGCGTGCCATATTAAGGGATAGGTGATTTGTACTGCTCCAGGAAATGTGCCATACTCCGTAAGTGGGGGTATAGACAGATTGCGAAATTATGTTGAATCAAGTGAAAAGTGGACTGCTTATGTAATGCCGCAACAAGAGAACTCGAGGCTGAGACCACCACCCCTCCTCCCTCCGTAGTACCGTCTGCTGCCGCCCCGTGACAGTAACGCTGCAGAAGCCATCAGAAATCAACGAATGGCAGGGGGGTGTTTCATTGCTACATCTGTACGTGCCTGTGCATATTCCAACAACGACAACGTGCCCCGTCGCCGCCGCCACCACCGCCGCTCCCTCCCGGCGGTATCTGCCAGGCCCTGGGCAAGTGCGCCAAGTCTGCGGACCTCGATTTCGACGAGGCTGTGCGCCGCGCTCTCGCCGGAGAACCCCCGGGACGAAATCCGCCCCCCCTCCGCGAGGACGGCGGGGCCCCCGGCCCCACCGGAGGAGGCAGTGCGGCGGCGGGGAGGGGGGGGTCTGACGCCGAGGAAAGCAAGGCAGAGGCGAAAGGGGTGGGTGGGGGGGGGGGTGA